TTTAAAATATGTTTAATTACAGACTAGAGAACTTTCAGTTGTCATGGAATTTCTGCCTCTTGAATCAATTTTTGTTTTCCACTGAATGCGAATAATTAATGAGACGCATTAATTTTATTTTTGATTGCATTAAAGTTGGCATTTAATTCTAAATATGCTAAAATGTAGTCTTTATGATAATTATAGTTCCTCATTTTGCTTTTTAATTAATATTACCCACTTATATATTATTTCTAGTTTTCATTTTAGTGAAGTAAAATATATTTTAAAACCAGAAATAATAATAATCACATACTCACTGAATCAAGATTTGTAAACCTACAGTTAATAAAGTGATTCGATTCAGTTTGTTCACTCAAATGATTCATTCATTTGAACAAATCACAAACCACCACTGAAAAACTTTATGTGCTTTAGGCTCTATAGAAAATTGTATGGATTTGATTTTTTATTATTTTTCGTWTAAATAAAAAATTTATCCAAACTGATGACTTTTAGCGTTTTTCCCAACACCCAAAGATTGTATCGTGTGTTCTGAGATACTGACTCARGCCTTAGTAAGAAGTCTAATAAGGACATTTCTGCACATCTTTTAGAGTAAACTTACAGGTCGTTTCTGATCCTCTCAGAGCTTCACTTGCCTCATTTGCGTACACAGCATACACAGCGAGCTGGTACTCAGTCAGAGAGCTGAGATGCTGCAACACCACCGACGTCTCACTGCCGACCACCACAGCCTGCAGGAGGGTGAGTCAGAGCAGGAGACATGGAAGAGAAGGGACAGGAGGGTGGGAATAAACAGCAGGCAAGAAAAAAAATGGGGAACAGAAATTGGCAGGAAGAATTGAGGGAGATGAAAATGACAAATGGTAGAAAGGAAGGAGGGAGGACATCGAGAAGAAATTATGCATAAATACCAAAGAAAACAGGAAAAAGAAAGAGGAAATACAATTGGTTTTACAAGGGAAAACATCTAGACATTTTACCCAGGAAAAAAAAAAGAAATGACAGTTGTGATAAACATTAAGGTTGGGTTGAGTCAGCTGGAAAGGCATCCTTACATTCCTTTGCCTGAACATCTGGTCTCAGCTTGCAGCTATAGAAAAGATTTAATGGTTTCTGTGGTCAAATGTTCTGGAAAAATCAAGCAGGTATCCAAATCAGCTGCTGTGTTATTTTCAGTTTGCACTTATGACCTCACAGAATAAATGGAGGAACAGCAGAGAGGCATAAATGAGTGATACAGCCAGACTCTTAAAGGGATAGTTCAGAACTTTTGATGAGGGTCTCAGTAATCAGTGTTCGTTGTGTCCATCTCTTTGAAACCTGGATGACGAGATAAAGGCTAGTTCAAGCAGGGACAAGACCAAACTGGATGGCTGTTTTAAAACAACTTTAAACTCAGCAGTTTGTGCGAACCAACGTTTTCATCATTTTATTTTCTTTGTCCTGTAGATTTTTCTCTGCAGTACATGTTGTCCTGTGGGCGTAGTTGACCCTAATCGTGATTGGTGGAGTTGGTGTGTGGGTGGAGTTTTCCCTAATCGTGATTGGTTGGGTTGAATTGTCTTGCGGGGCAACTTAAAAGAGGAAGTAATGATAAAATAATGTGATTTATCGACTGTCTGTGTACAGTTTAAAACAGAGCAATGGCTTAAATAAAAATGTAAACATATTTTGACTTAAAATTTCATGTGGCAACCCCCCTTTCTATCTCAAATTATGACTAATATTCATATTAGTTGATTTTTAGCGATATTTCACTGGCTGGTTAGGGAATCCCACATGGTTGATGTTCAAATTTCGTGCAGCTAGCACCGTCCTTACTCAAGTTATGAATAAAATGAATCTTTAAAAACATAGGTGTTTCTTGCCCAACTTGACCAAGCTACTCCCCGCTGCCCCCATGCTTTTTAAAACCCCACCATCAATCTGATGGTGGGGTTTTAAAAAGAAACTCCTACTTAGGGACTGCATAGACCCCCTTTTCAGATATTTTGCTGCTCAACAAATAACTTTTTTTGGTGGGGGKTTGTATCTTTTTGGGCTCAAGAGAAGGAGCAATCTGACAGCAGACTGCGATATTTTTTCCTTGAGATTATCTGCTGTTACGCCGTGCATCAAGTTGAACAAAAAAAAAAAGGGGTGTAAACTATTTATCATAACTCTGGTTTATAAACTGGTATTTCCTGTCTGTCTAAGCGGACTTGTCAGTTAATCAAATGGAACAGATTTCAATCTAATAAACCATTGTTTGGCAAACAATCGTAAGTCGATTAATTGCTTTAATCTTTTTCAACCTGAAAGTTTTGTATCTGACTAATAAGCTTTTCTCTGAGAATGTCAGAGAAACCGAGGTCATTCTAAACACCATAGACATGTAAGATAATTCTTCATAGTCTTTAGAAATGCACTTCAAATGATCTAAACTACTACTTAATGAAAAAAGACTAATGATAAACCTGGTGATTGCTGACGTCACTGACCTCCTCAGTCTGATCAAACCAACACATTTAAGCTTTAAAATATACCTTAAGCCCATAGTTATACATTTGTGACAACAATAAACAAATTAATAGTCATAAATTAGGCGCTTGCAAAACTTTAGCCATGGCTTACCTCCTGTGGTTCGTCTTCCTGAACAGGATAATAAACCACTCGGTACTTTCTAACGTTTCCAGGTGCAGGGCTCCAGGAGACTCGAAAGCTTTGGGCAGTGACCTCTGATGTCTCCAGTTTAAAWGGCATTCCAGTTTTCTCTTCTAAGAAAAAGAGAAAGGATGCAAACATACTATAAAACAATCTAGGTGATTCTTACCAGTGAGGAATGTTCAATAACCGATTATTCATAGGATAGTCCCTATAATCTGCTTTCAATGTCAGTAAGAAAATACTGTTTTCAGTTTCTGGTGTCTGCTCGKTTCTTTTTTATTTTTTCTTACTCTGCTTGATTTCTTTGTCTTGCTGCTCCACTTGTTCACACACTGTTTTCGTCAGTCCCTCAACTATCGAGCTCATAACGTTGAAGTCAGCCACATTGTAGACGTGAGTGTCCTCTGGCTCCGAGGCGATGGAGCGCAACTCATTCTCATCAGCATTCTTTACACCTGGAGATGTACAGACACACAGATTTCAGTAGCACATCAACTGCAAACAAAACAGAACACGGTTAGCAATTGAAATTTAATTTTTCGGTTAGAGAGATGTTGTAATCCATGTACTAAAACAGAGCGAGTCATCAAGGAACATTTTCTTTACTAGGAAAATGAATGTTTTTTTTACTCCTTGTATTGGTTTATTTGCTCTCACCAATAGCAAACAGCTCGACACCAGCCTCCCGCAGGCTTTCTGCTGGTGGGATTACATCATCCTGTGATTTTCCATCTGTGATGAGGATCCCAATCTTTGGCACACCGACCCGTGAGCCAAAGTCCGATTTGAAACAGTGCTCAGATATAAAATTTAGTGCAAGGCCTGTGGAAAGCATTGCAGAAACAAGCAGTAGAGGAGAACAGGTAATGTGTTAACACAACAAAAAGACAAAATAATAATCTAAATAAAATACAGATATATACTGTATATATAGACTAAATATCAAGATGATAACCTAAGGGGGTGTATGCAATCAGTTTATCCTCGAGGATTTTACAAAAAGTAAAGAGAAGATAGAACAGAAAGGATTTTTTTATTTTGCAAATCTTGAAAAAGATAGACCTGAGTTGATTGTTGTGAAAAACAAACAAAATCACACGATTCATATTTAGTACCTGTGAGAGTGTTTCCTCCTTTGTAGGGCAGATTCCTGACTGCTTCAAYGACTGCATCCTTGGTGGAGTACGTATTAAGATGCCACTCTATCCTGGGATCCCCGCTGTACTGTGCCAGACCTGCAACGAACACACAAAAGTACCACATACAGCACATAACAGGCCTGCTGACAAACTATTATACAGTAACACAGCAAYGTGTAACAATGACCTCGAAAAGCTAAGACCTTGCATTATCTTTGACTTTGATTTGTGACCTTAGAGCTGAGGGCAGGCTTTTAGGTAGCATTTTGGAAAAAGGCGTTGACATGCCACTTACGAAGTTTACAGAAATTTATGTAGGGAAACAAGTAACGGACCAGGGTTTTGATGACAACACACAACAATGGYTGTAGCTGTAACACCGCTACCCAACTCTTCTTTCCAAGCCAGTGCAGTTTATTCTTTATAYGTCTTCTTCTGGCTTCATCAAATAATTGCGGTCACCCCACGCCGCTTACAATGTTACAGAAATTTATGAAMTTTACGTGGGGGAAAAAAACAACTTACAGGAACCTGAAGATTTGCACGGTGCCATAAGGGCAGAGCCAAGCAAACAAAGGTGTTGGAAAACCAAACGGGGCATTGTTACGACGTCCCAACACCCCTCTAATTACACGCCTGGCTGAAATGACAAGTGTACATGACTCTCTGTCTGGTTATGATGTTTATCAAGTTTCATTCAATTTTCTTGAGTGAATCAGAAGTTACAGGCAGGAATAGAGAGACGTAGAAAGTCGATACCGTAATACCTCCCGTCTTCGAGGGTTGTATAAAAGTTGAAGCGTTCACAAGCAAAACATGTTACTCAGACAGAAAGTCTTATGACAGATACATATAAAAACTCTACAGATTACTCATCTAAGAGGAAACAAAGCTGAGGCCTACCTATTCTTGTCTTATCAATGCCAACGTCAAAGGCATTGACCAAAATTTCCAGAAACGTGCGGACCAGTCTGAAATTGATCCGACCAATGCTCCACGAGCCGTCCACCAGAATCACAATATCTGCAATGGCTTCAGTGCGACACACGAACTGATCAGCTGGAAGACAGAGACAGAGGGGGGATTTAGAGTGTTCAGAGTAAACTGAATAATACAATTATAAGTTTTTATTATAAAATCATGACTACCATTAGCAATACTTCCCTTTGAATGTTTAGGTTACGGATTGACATGTTTTGTGAACAGATAAAGATACACAGCCACCGACAGTTATATGATCGCCTGTCTTTTATTGCAGCAGAGAATAAAACCTCCAAAACATTTCATCATCTGAACTTTACCTAAACTTTCTGGCTCAGGTTTCTACAATATGACTAGTACAGACACATTTTCCCTCCACATTATCATTCAATAAAATCTTTCTTCGTCAGTCCTAGTACTTTATCCACAAAATGACTTTATCCACTTAAAGTTGTGTCATAGATAACTTTCTGGTCCACGATGTAAAAGAGCCAAAACATGCTGACAGTGAGATTTATGTCTCAGTAAAGAACAGCGATAAAATAAAGAATGCTGACAGAAGGAAAAGTGAGTTAATACTCGACTGTTTTGGCTCAGAACAGTATGGATTAAGACACAGATTATGAAGTGGTCTGATAAGTCAAAGAAGGAAATCATGTTAAATACCCTCCAGCCTGAACACAACTATGTTTAATATGTTCATTAAGACAGATTTATGGTTAAATAGGTATATTATTTATTCTGGTCCAGGAGAAACATTCACGTTTGGAGCAGGAAGCTGGTGTGTTTCGTTAGACTGCAGATGGTTTGTTGAATTACAACATCCTAAATTACTTTTTAAAAAGTCCAGATTTATTTACTGAAACAACCTGCACCCAGAACAGCTCGTTTCTGACAAGCAGCTGTCACATTTTTTAACACCACCTGTGCCATTTTGTGCAACTACTGTATTCAAGTGTAAAACTCAGAGCGTAAACCCGTTTAACATCATTCAAATTAGTAAAAGACATGTTTTCCGAAGTTAAGACAAGCAAGTATTTATTTCAGAAAGTGGTTTTCCAGACCGAGCTGTCTGACTGCTGTCTCTGTGTGTCTGACTGTTTGAACCGTCCGTCTGCTAAAGCGAGCAGGAGAAAAACAGATAGTTTTTTTTACAAAGAGCTGATGACACTCTTTGGCTTGTTGTTGAAGTAATCGAGGCGCTGTTATGAAATATTATAAAAGTAGCATTTAGTAAAAATCACAGTGATTACTAATAAATACCATTCAGAGTTTAGTAAAAAAAATGTTTTATTTTAAAAGAAAACTCTTGGATCCCTTTCCATCCAGTCCATCCTGAGCCAAACTTTAGGACCTCCCACTGAACTGACATGACYCACAGAAGCAGAAGAGTTATTACCTGGATGTCTCAGAGAGGAAAATAAAAGTTAAGCTCATCTGTCATTTAATTGAAAATAATTAAGCAGTCACTCTTTCAAAATAATCTGAAGATAYGGTTTTGTTTATTCAGTGAAAATTATCAAGATTTTTTTTTTCAGGATTTTTTTAACCAGAGTGGATTGCTGGATGCTCCTGTTTGTCACGAGTTTCTCTTTACTTCTTTAGTTCCTGTTTGGATGTTTTTACAGCTGATTGGAGCGGCTGTGGCCACTGTAAGCTGTAATATTCTGTGTGAATCACAGGAACAGTCTGAGCAGTGTTATGTTGCATTAATATTTATTCACTTAATTAAATCAAGCTGATGTCCAATTCACAATGTAGCTGTGGAAAACAGCTGACACACTCATTCCCTGCAAGTTCAAATCTTTTGTCTTTCCTCAGACTCTGAGCTCCTTAAACACATTATATTTCCTCATATTATGACTATTAGGTGATCAAGATTAACATATGATAAAAAAGTGACTTAAATGGCTTTGAAATGTGTTCATGTATCAAAACAATGTAGTTCAGATGTCTAAATGTTTCTAAATTGGTCGCTCAGTGACAGCTCACTGTGTGACGTGGCTGCACGTGTTTCTGCTTACAGCAAAGCTAATTAACGTCTGATGGCAAAACGTTTTGGGGTACAGGTTTACTCAGGTGTTAACRCTCTCTGAGCTGACCACTTGTAATTAAATCAACCAAGCTTCAGATATAATGCCAGGTATGAACAGGACCTTTACCATAAAGGGTCTCAGAGGTTGGTGGGTTTTTGTTAAATGTGATTCTTCACTGAGGATCCAGCTGGTAAACAGAGGATTAGAAGGTCAGTAATTACGGCTAATTACAGATCACTGACCGTCCCCGACTTTGTTTGCACGGTGGTAAGAATGTCAGGCTTAATGTTAGTGTTTTACCTCCGAACCAATAATCACTGTGAGCCCCTTCCCTCACATTATTCCCWATAACATCTGTAAACTGTCTGCTCAGCTGAAGGAAAACAATGACTCTCATTCAGTTTCCAACTCCAGGTTTTGCGTGTTTMAGTATCAGTCTTGACCCAGACAGTGTAACAAATGACATCAGGAAAAAAAACTTGTTGTAATTGCATTGAAAATATAAGCGTTTCATTTTCCACCCAATAAAAATAGAGCAGTTTGGCTGTATATAAATTATTTCAGTTTATAAGATGTTTTATTTCTCCAGTTGTAACTTTGTTTTAGCAACAATGAAAACTTTTTATTTTAGGCATTTGAAATGTTTAATTGGCAATATGTGAATTATTGATTTGTCACATGTTGAAACCCTGGATTTGTTCAGGTTATTGTAAAACTTGGAAATGACATTTCTGACTAATCCCCTGCAGGTAATAACCCTGACGAGAGCAGAGAAAACTGAACCCACTGGTTTAATACTGTATTATATTATTATGAGAAGGATTAGGTTTTTGAGAAGCACCAGGAGTTATATTTCAAAAAGTCTTTTTTTTTTTTTGTTACCCCACAATTTATGAAAATTTCATCAAAACTGACCAGATACAGACCGGTCAAGAGGTTCTTCTGCTGCACCTTCCATATTTAATCTCTTGGTTGTGCCATTTTGTTGCACTTTTAGTTTTGAACAAAAGAAATAAATTTAAGAGGAAACAAAGAGTTAAAAAGTGAATGAAGGGCAACAAAGAAAATTTAATATTTTATAAGCATTTAAACTTTTAGTTATTGAGTGGACAGATAATCTGTCAGGAGCTGAAAGTGATGGATGATTTTTGTTCTTTGAAAAGGTTTTGATTTTAAATTTGATGCAAGTAAAACTTCAGAAAACTACATATTGTTTTAACATCAGCCTTCAGACACCTATTTGTACGTAGGAAACTAGATGTTTTCACATTGTTGGTTTAATATAACGTTTCAGAGGTTTGATGATTCAGGATCTCCTTTTTTTACATTTTGCACAAAATATTTTCAGTGTGGCACAGATCTCTACTGCAAGCAAACCATCTGAGCAACTGGACTATTTCAGTCAAGCTTCTCTCCTGATGCCAAGCTTTTCCTCACTCCAACACTTCTCTCCAGAGGTTTTTCTGACTCAACTTTTAAATCTTCATATGCCGTCCACCCTGATGGGTYACTAATAAAGCGCAGGCATTGGTTGGCACTGTTTTTTAAAGATATCTCACTGAGACAAAGTTCCACTCACCAGGAAGCAAAAAGTAGAAACTTCTGAAACACCATCACATTTTTTAAAGTTTTCTAAAAGCCTCTGTTGTGATACGAACAATAATCAGGTTTGACTTGTGAAAGGACCTTCGGCCGCACTTTAAACATGCATGTATTTACATACYTGAAGTTAGTCACAAAATGAAACACGTTAACGATTTGCTAAGTCTTTTTCCAACATGACAAGAAAGGTCTAAGATTTAATGACAGAATGATGTTTTCTTTTGTCATAAGAAGGAAAAAAATATTAAATATTTGTTTTCTCCTCATTGGTTAGAAATGTTTTATGGCTCAGACAGTGTCTGAACCTGAAAACCCTTTTCTCCTAAGCAGAGTTTAACCAGTCTGCAGAAGTGCTCTCTATCATGGAAACAAAGAAATAGTATTTATATTTGAAGCTTAGTTCAAACTTTTCACTCACTGACACCACATTGAGTGTTTATTGTTTTTTTAAAGATTTTTTCTGTAAAGCATTTACATGAAATACAGCAGCAGAAACTGCCTATAATATGTAAACTGCTTAGTTATACTTGTGTATAGTATAGTATAGTATAGTATAGTATAGTATAGTATAGTATAGTATAGTATAGTAATAGAACAATACAAAAGCCATATTACCAAATTTCCTCTGGGATCAATAAAGTATTTTTGAATTAGAATTGAATTTGAAGTTGCTTCTGTTTGAGAAGAAACTTTTAAGGCAACAGATGCATAAAAATTAGATTCTCCTGTTGACATAAATATAAACTTTATTATGTTAGCTCACACCTGAAAATAACACGAAACTGTCAGATTGGTTCTTATCACAAACAGATTTGACTTTTTTTTTAAACTGGCTGCAGCTCAGGAGGAAGAGTTGTCATCTGTCAATCAAAAATTTAACTCTTTGATCTTTTCCTGCCACATGTGCAGTGGTGGACAGTAATGGAGTACATTTACTTGAGTATCTTTACTTTACTTGAGTAATTTTTTTTTTTTTGGGAACTTATAACTTTCACTCCTCTACATTTCTTGGAAGCTTGTAGTTATTTTCCTTTTGGCTCAGCAGAGCTTTGTACTGTTGCCGTTTTCCTTTCTTGAAATGCATTTGGCCACATGTTATGTAGGAGAACCAGTCACAGTTGTAGCTCACACCTGGGATGGATTTGGAATTACATGATCCTCGTTAATGGTGGTGAGCTCCCACCTCCATTTCAAACAGAACAATGGAGATGGTTGAAGAAACTCAAGCGGACAAACCAAATTGATGGCCATGTCTCAACTCGATGTTTGAGCGTTTAGGGCTGAAAAATAGTTTGTATCAGTTTAAATGTCTGCTGTGTTCACCGTGGATAAACCACATTTCTGCATTTAATAACTCACTTTATTGTATTTTTATGCTGACGTGTTTGCAGGTGGTGTRGAATTCGTAGCAGAGTGGTTCTATGTGTCGATACATCACGC